GGGGTTGTACCCTCCCCCCGATATTTTTTTTTTGAATCTGGAACCCATTCTGGTGCAGTTTTTGACATAAAATTAATACCTATCATTTTCATATTTGGCTTGTAGTATATTTTATCAAATGCGTAATAATTAGTTCCATATGAACAAGGAACATATTCGTTAAATAGTCAATAAAAGAAACAATATCAATGAGATAAGGAATTCACTGAGGGCCCAGGTTTATGAGTTGTTAAAGTTTATCACATACAGTTCTACGATGTTATCCTTGTTAAAAGTATATTTGAAAAAAATACGTGGAAGCCTGTGCGTCCGTGCGTACGCCTGGTTACGTCCCTGACTACGATATTGAATGCCCGATACGCAATACGGAAATGCCGACACGGTGTACATGCACATTTCGATCAAGATAATTGAGTCCGAGCTGTACTTTTTCCGGAAGTACGTCACGAAAATGGACGCTGATGACGATGTGTGGAGCCACCTTAAGAATTTACCCTACGAAGTCAAACTCCGCAACGATTTTGGAAGTTTTCACTTTTTCTAAGATGGCCGCAGGCGTCCATACACTCGCGCCAAATGGACAGTGGTCAACACTGACCCCACATGGTACAGCGCCAAAAAAACGTGAGTTAGGGCTTTTTAAAACCTCAATATAACTCACAAAAAGTGTCAAAAACTATAACAAGAAGAGCACGATCACTATTGAGTGATATTAATGTGTGCACGATGTAAAATCTAAAAAAATAAGGTCAGGTTACGCTGGAGTACCTATCTGAAGTGAAGACAGAATCATGTGTACAAAATAACAGTCATATTTCTGCATATTACTGTAACCAGAGACCTATATATATGTGTTATATAGGTCTCTGCTGTAACAGAATCGGTCTCTTTCTAGGGAAAGTCCTCTCGCCGATTATATATATTGTCTTTATATCAATGTGTGAAATGAATCTAGATGAAAATTGTCAACCTGTGGAAAGAGGTAAGACAACAATATTCTGCTTATGTATGCTGATGATTGAGTTTTTTTAATAGCAGAATCTCCAAACTGCACTGCAATCCATGTTATACGCTCTGTTTCAGTATAACGATAAATGGAAACTGTACCAAAAACGAAAATAGTATTTTTTGAAATGGTTGACTTGTACAAAGAATGAATGATGGTTTTATAATAAAAGCGAAATTGAAGTTGTTACTGATTTTAAATTTCTTGGTATATGTTTGTTTTATATTAACGGTATACTTAACGAACCCAGCAATATGATGCTGAAATGGAAATCACTGAATCAATCGGGAACCGTCGGCTCTTTCCGTAAACGAGAAAATAAGAGTGACGACGGTTCCCGATTGATTACTGAACAAGATAAAACACCATTTAATACCGAGACATTATGCTCATTTTTTCATATTAATAGTGTGTTTGAGTATGAAAGTGTAGCATAGGGCTTTCATCAAGCTGTAGAGGTTGAGAGCTGTTTCTTAAAAAAGTTTTAGGTGTTAGTAAAAATACAAGTTGTTATATTGTGTATTATGACCAGTGTGTATCCGTTAAAAAATGAAAGATATTGATATACTGGATTAAGGTTAAAGACAGACAACTCTGTATTAAAAGCATACCATGAAGAAAGATTGTTAAAATTATGATCAAAATGGATTGAAAATATCATATTGGAATTTATTGAATTATGGCTATGGTACATATGGAATAGTAATTTTAAAAGAAAGGTTATGTACAGGCCGATTGGAAACATATTTTATAAAATTCATAGGCAAGAAATGTCAAATATTCGTAACTCTGCAACAAGAGGCCCTGTATCGCTCACCTGGAAATGTTAGCAAAATTGAAGTTAAAATAGCCAGATGTTACTGTACGTGTACATGTATATCATCCCTAAAGGAAAAGGGGATTTTGAAGAATTTTTAATGTTTCCCCAGGGACAGTATATAGAGGGGCTTCATTATACGTCCCTGGTTTCCCCTATTGGGCCCGCCCCTCTGCCCTCAGGGGGGTCAGACCCACCGTTGATACAAAATTAAATCCCCTTAACCCAAGGATGCTTTAGACCAAATATGGACAAAATCCTGTCATTCCTACAAAAGAAGGATTTCAAAAGTTTACCTCTATTGGGCCCCAGACCCATCTTTTATACAAAATTGATTTCCCTTCCCCATAGAATGCTACTGTTCTAATTTGGTCAAAATACCCTCATCCCAACGTTAGAACAAGAGGCCCAATGGGCCTGCATCGCTCACCTCGTATAAATCTCACACTTGTAGCCGTAAAAGTGATCTAAAATCAAGCTACAGGCAAAATATCATTATTTATGATTAAAATTCATTCAAAAGAACCTGTAATTTTTTTTGAAAAACATTTCACCCCTGTGATTGAAAGTCGAACAAAGTCATTATGTTGAACAAATTGTATAGGCTTCCATCTCAGGATGCAACTTGCAAAGTATCAACATCCTGGGACCCATGGTTATTCAGAAGAGGTCGTTTAAAGATTTTAAACAAATTTGACCCCTGTGACATTGAATATAAGTAAAAGTCATTCATTTTAACAAACATAGTAGTTCTTGATCCCAGCATGCTACTGACTAAATATCATCACCCTGGGCATTTTGGTTATCGAGAAGAAATTGTTTACAGTTTTAAACATATTTGACCCCTGTTACCTTGAATACGGGTGAAGGTCATTCATTTGAACAACCTTGATAGCCCTTTACCACAGCATGCTACTGGTCAAATATCGACACCCTGGGCATTTTGGTTAGTGAGAAGAAGTTGTTTAATAATAATGTTTTTAACATATTTGCCCCCTGTGACCTTGACTATAGGTGAAGGTCATTTATTTGAACAAACTTGATAACCCTTTACGACAGCATGGTACTGGCCAAATATCATTACCTTGGGCATTTTGGTTATCGAGAAGAAATTGTTTAAAGTTTTAAACATATTTGACCCCTGTGACCTTGAATATGGGTGAAGGTCATTCATTTGAACAAACTTGATAGCCCTTTACCACAGCATGCTACTGGTCAAATATCGACACCCTGGGCATTTTGGTTAGTGAGAAGAAGTTGTTTAAATTTTTTAACATATTTGCCCCCTGTGACCTTGACTATAGGTGAAGGTCATTTATTTGGACAAACTTTGTAGCCCTTTATCTCAGCATGCTACTGGCCAAATATCATTACCCTGGGCATTTTGGTTATTGAGAAGCAGTTGTTTAAATTTTTAACATGTTTGACCCCTGTGACCTTGAATATGGGTGAAGGTCATTCATTTGAACAAACTATGTAGCCCTTCATCTCGGCATGCTACTTGCCAAATATCATCACCCTGGGCATTTTGGTTATTCAGAACAAGTTGTTTAAAGGTTTTTTAAGACAATTGACCCCTGTGACCTTGAATATAATTGAAGGTCATTCATTTGAACAAACTTGGTAGCCCTTCACCCAAGCATGCTACTGGCCAAATATCATCACCCTGTGCATTTTGGTTATTGAGAAGTTGTTTAATGTTTCTCACATATTTGACCCCTGTGACCTTGAATATGGGTGAAGGTCATTTATTTGAACAAACTTGGTAGCCCTTCATCCCAGTTTGCTTCTGGCCAAATATCATCACCCTAGGCCTTTCGGTTATTAAGAAGAAGTCGTTTAAAGTAAAATATTGACGCCGGACGCCGCGCCACGGCATAAGCTCACTTGGCACTTTGTGCCAGGTGAGCTAAAAAGGATATTTCAAAAAGAAATTCCTCCATATCCCTTATTGGGCCCTGCCTCTCTAGTCCCAGGGGGTCAGACTCACCATTTATACAAATTTTAACTTAATTTCGTATAAACAGGGACTGGGCCAAATAGGGAAACAGAAATTTCTTCAAAATCCTTCTGTAGAAATAATAGGATTTTGTCCAAATACAAAATTGGTTCCCCTTCACACCAAATCCTGTCATTCCTACAGAAGAAGGATTTGCGATTTCCCCTATTGGGCCCCGCCCCTCTACCCCAGACCAAATTTGAATGAAATTCCTTAATCCCTATAGTAGAAGTGAAGGTTTACCTCTATTGGGTCCCAACCCTGTTAATGCAAAATCGAGTTCCCTTGGCCCAAGGATGCCCCAGACTAAATTAAGATAAAATTCCAAAAGTAGAAGGATTTTAAAAGTTTTACCTCTCTATGATTATCCCCGCCGCTCTGCTCCCAGGCAAGTTTTAGAAGTATTTTGTATCAAAATCTAGTAGATGATCATTGTTTGCTATTTAGTAATTTTTTCAAAGAAAATCAAATTCCCCCCCCCAATGCAGTTAGCAACAACTATATTTGTACAGGGTTTAGAACAATTTGGCTACCCGATATAAAAGGGAGGAAACTGCTCCATGTCGAAAAATCAACCCCACCTAGTTTTGATGCGAGAAAGCTAGGTGGGGTTGATTTTTTGACAGGGGAGTTTCTCGTATATGATCACTAGGGGTGTCATTTTTGACCTAAACCATTAAACTTGTAATTTTTCTCAATTTGGATCCCAATATAAATAAACAAGACCCGTAACAAAAGAATTGATGAAATCGTTACGAGTAATCCCAAGAGCATTATCCAAGTTGCCCTGAAGACCTTACCTTTTCAAGTAGATTTTTTTTAAAACGATACTGCTTTCTTGTTTACTGTTAAATCAAAACGCAATACAATTTTGATAATTTTCATTTTTTTTGTTCTTTTTATTCATTTTTTAAACACTTACAAAACAGCCGACGTAAAAAAACCCACAAATATCACAGGTGAAAATGAGGGAACAAATGATGTTGATGATCTATTATGATTGATGAATTTTGCGGAGAACAAATCACATTACAAGTTTTTGTTGATCATGTTGCTTCTACCTTCAAAAGGTGCAATATTCTCGCAGTCTTAATCTTGAAACACAGACGTCGCGATGCAAATGTTACATAATAGTCTAAGATGGAATGTCAAATGAGAAGAAATGCAAAATCAGCATTTAGTATTGAAATATCAAATAGATATTCCTAATCTCAAGTTAACATCTTTCTGTTCTATGGTCCATTGCTGAAGTTTTAAAGGGTGCAGTTTTTTCACTTAATCTACTTCTTCCATTCTTGAAGCATCATCCTCATCCCCTTCTAGTGGTGGGGGCTCTTCTACGTTCTCATCAGAGGTTTCTGGTGCTCCGGAGTCATCGTCGTCAATTCCTGCAATAAAATTACTTTATTGATGAGTATGTCATAAATGCCTTAATGCAATACATACTTTAGCTTTTACGAGGTTTATTTGACCACAGATTAAATAAAATACCGTCATTAGGAAATATGCTGTGAAGTTTTGTACTGTATATTTGATCATAAATTTACTACTTCAATTGTTTATGATGATACAAGGTGTTTCCTTCGTTCATGCAAATGAAAATGAGACTTAAGTTTTAAGAAAGATCTCCTTTCAAACATTTTTTAGGTTTAGTTGTAGTTGGCAGTGTGGGAGCTCAAAAGTGAATGATGTCAATAGAGATGGAGTGGCTGGAAATGAGTATCAATCAATTGAAAACCCCTTACTATCTACACACAATTATTCCAATGAAAATTGACTACGAATTCTGCAATTAATTTTTCAGTATTAGCAATACTACCATCCCTCAAAATGCTATTTTTTTCAGGCCTTTTAATTTACCAAGAAATAATTACCTCCATGTATTGAAGTGCTAAACAAGTATGAAGAAAACTATACTTGATTTGCAAGTGAACTGAATGCAACTACTACTAACTCTCGTTAACCTAGCCAAAACTTTTCACCTGCAGTAAAATACTTACCAAGTCCAAGTTTGATCATCCTGTGGATTCTGTTGGCATGGGTACCGGGCTCCTCCAATGAAAATCCTGAGGCAAGCATGGAGGTTTCAAACAACAGCAAAACAAGATCTTTCACAGATTTGTCGTTCTTGTCAAGTCCAGCTTTTTCCTTAAGGGCTTTGATGATGGCGTGTTCATGATTTATCTCTAGATGTTTCTTGGCAGCCATGTATCCCATAGTGGATGAATCCCGCAGGGCCTGAGCTTTCATGATCCTCTCCATGTTTGCAGACCAACCATACTGACTTGTTACGATACAGCATGGGGATGTGACTAGTCGGTTGGAAACTGTTACCTAAAAACACACACAAGAAGTTAACTTATTAGTGCAAAGGTATAGCTGAATTTTTAAAAATATTTACACGAAAGTCTATCACTAATGCACTGTTTTTTAGTCTTTTGGAATTCTTCGATCTTGAACGATTGATACTGCCCTGCCTACAACTTAAACTAATATTTACACTTTTATTTTATTTTTATTTTAAAAGAATTAAGCTTTCTCTATAAACTTCAATTTTATGAAAATACATTAAACATGGTTTAACATGTGTGTAGAGTTGTCGAGATATTTTCATTACAAGGATATTTTCTTTTATTTAATTTTAGAATTGGATTTCACAATAGAGATCATTTTCATAGAATTGAACAAAACCCATCTGGAAAGGAAACCTAATGATAAGTTGATAATTAATTTGGTGACAATTGAAATGTAGGAAATACTGCTTTCAAGTATGAAGGAAAACACAGGGCAGTGTTCCCGATCACGCAGAATCATGCGTAGTAAACACCTTTGCACGCGTAAATTTGTCATACTAAGCGTGAGTGAACGCACAATTATTTTGTACAATGTTAAGTCGTTTTTGTAGCATGTTTGTTTTTTAAATGATGATATTCAGAAAATTGAAAGTGACTGTCAGATAACACCCGAGTGCATAGCCAGACAATCGGTATCCTCGGGGCTGATTATCACTATACTGCGTAATTGATCATGAATGACGGAAAAAACCCAGCAGACGCTATTTGGATTTCTGTTGTCAGCTGAAGAAGACAGCTTTCAGTTCATATTCTTACATAATGACTGTCTGTGCCGCACCAGTGTGGGCAAGTTACATGATGATCTGTTTCAGCAATACGCTCCATTTTTTAAAAATGTAATCAAAACACTGACATTAGAGTTTGAATTACGTTTTCTTGTGCAATTTGAACTTAAAAACGAATCATCTGAAGAACCAAACTGGTGCATGGCTAAGAATACATCATTGTTATAACTGTTTTTTTGGCACATTTATTGAAGTAGAAGTAGTTTTGCCAAAAGTGATCCGATTTGGTTACCGCCTCCTTACACAATTTTCATTCTGTTACTGCCTAATTCTTGGTGTTTTTATTCTATGACAAACTGGAAATATTATGAAATAAATAAAAACCTGTAAAAATGGCATCGCTACAATTAGTTAGTTAAGAGTTTTGTGATGATATTAGATTCCCACGAGGATTTAGATAAGGTGTACCCCTAATAAATGCAGCCATAAAATTTTGAGAGGTATGGGGGTACAAAAAACCCCAATTACAAAAGTGACAGGGAACACTGCAGGGATACTCCTAGAGTTATGTCCCTTTTGTCATACATTTCAAATCTGGATCCGGTTTATACTAGATCAGTGTTTATATTTATGCTACAAACCTTTTCAACTTTCTTGTCCAGGATTTCTTTGACAACTTTACATAGACCCTCGAACTCGGCAGTAGCTTCCTCGAACCTCTTCTTTTCTTCCTCATCCTCTGGCAATTCTAGTCCTTCTTTTGTCACGGACACCAGGGCCTTTCCTTCATATTCCTTCAGCTGCTGTACTGCATATTCATCGATGGGATCCACCATGTAAATGACCTCAATGCCCCTCTTTTTCACATTTTCCACAAATGCTGAACTTTGGACTACCTCTCGGCTCTCACCTGTACAATAAGACCACAATAAAAAGAAATCCCTTTTGCGAATTGCAGATTCAATGTGCTTGTACATGCATAATACCAAAATGTTTTGTCTGTAATTTTTTAATTGTAAACATGAAGAAAAAAAATATCACACGCGCACACTTCTCTTATTTTGGGCATAACAATTTACCTGTGATGTAGTAGATGCTTTTCTGATTTTCCTTCATCCTGGAGACATATTCCTTAAATGAAGTCATTTCATCACCAGACTGAGATGTGTGGTACCGGAGGAAATCTGCAATCTTCTTTCGGTTTGTTGTGTCTTCGTGGATTCCAAGCTAAGAAAAGTAATGTTCAACATGTTACCTCGCGATCACTACTTCGAAACGTGTGTAATAGCAGTTTTATATATTGGCACTTTTTAGAATCTATTTAAACTGAACTCACTAATACCTTCATGAAAGTTCACGCCAAATATTAACATCCCAATACAAACACCGACAGTTATAGTTTTAAATGCTTCAATGTCAACACTTGCTTAAAAATCTGACCTGGCTAGCTTGAGCACATATATACCAGCGTTTTATTCAATATACAAACTATTGTACAAAAAATAATAATCAAAAACCCCAAAAGGACTAGGCGAGTCTATTGTGACTGATTGACATCAATTGATGCTTATATTTACCTTTAGGTTCTTTGCAAACTGTTCGTAAAATTTCTTGTAGTTTTCCTTGTCCTCTGCGATGTCATCGAACAGCTCCATGCATTTCTTCACCAAGTTCTTTCTGATGACTTTGAGGATTTTGCTTTGTTGCAGCATTTCTCTTGAAATATTTAGTGGGAGATCTTCCGAGTCTACAACACCCCTGACAAAGTTGAGGTACTCTGGAATGACTTCATCACAATTGTCCATGATAAACACTCTCCTCACATACAACTTAATGTTGTTCTTCTTTTTCTTATTTTCGAACAGGTCAAATGGTGCTCTCCTTGGGACAAACAGCAATGCTCGGAATTCCAGCTGACCTTCCACAGAGAAATGCTGTAAAAAAAAGAAGAAAAAAAGTTATAAAACGAGTTTACATTTCTATTTGTACATCATTTCCCCCCAAAATTACAAAGCCACTACTACGGTGACCAAAACTTTATTCTGACTGAACAAAACTATGATTTGCATAGCAGATAGGTCTCGTTTGAGCTGATGTAAAATTTAACTTGCTCTGAGGTAAAATGCCAAAAATCTAAATTGTGTGAAAAATCCCCCAATACCCAGAATCAATTGTAGAAATACAGTATATCTAGATTCTTCAATACCAATAATGACTAGACTATTTGAATGGCCCAAGAACTAAAGGGAACAATTTTCTCTTTACTTCTGAAAGATTGAAAAATCTTTGTCCATTTGTCTCATTTTGTAATCAAATTTTATCAAAATAGCTTTATTAGCAGCCTGGGGCTAGCACTATTGCCAATGATTTGATTTTTTTTTGGTCTATGTAAAATGGATACCTTGACAGCCAAATGATCCTCCCAATCATTAGTGAGGGATTTGTAGAATTCACCATACTCCTCCTGTGTGATGTCATCAGGGTTTCGGGTCCAGAGTGGCTTTGTCTTGTTCAATTCCTCATCTTCTATGTACTTTTCCTTGATCTTCTTCTTTTTCTTGTCTTTTGACTTGTCTTCATCATCATCTTCATCATCCAAGTCTTCTACCTTTGGCTTTTCATCTTCTGTCTTCTCAGCATCTTTGTCCTCTTCCTTCTTTTCCTCCTCTTCTTCATCATCAGACACTTCCACATCCCTTTCCTTTTCCACCTGGAGTTTGATTGGGTAACCGATGAACTGACTGTGTTTTTTGACAATTTCCTTTACCTTCTTTTCTTCAAGGTATTCAGCTTGATCTTCTTTCATGTGCAAGGTGATGAGTGTTCCTCTACTAAATGAACCATCCCCACTTTTGACAGTGAAAGAGCCACCAGCAGATGATTCCCAGATGTAGTGTTCATCGTCGTTGTTCTTCGTCTCGACCACAACTCTGTCGGCGACCAAGTAGGCAGAATAAAAACCTACACCAAACTGTCCAATCATAGAAATATCAGCACCAGCTTGCAAAGCCTCCATAAAAGCTTTGGTTCCAGAACGAGCAATGGTTCCAAGATTGTTTACTAAATCAGCCTTGGTCATTCCAATTCCTGTGTCCATGATGGACAGTGTGTTGTCATCTTTGTTTGGGACGATCTTAATTTCTAGTTCTTTGCCAGAATCTAGTTTTGATGGATCTGTGAGACTTTCATAACGGATTTTGTCTAGAGCATCAGAGCAGTTAGAAATCAATTCACGCAAAAAGATTTCTTTGTTGGAGTAGAAAGTATTGATGATCAAACTCATCAACTGAGCAATCTCTGCTTGGAAAGCAAAGGTCTCGACTTCCCCATCTTCCATTGCTTGACCCTCTGGTTCTGGCATCTGCAAAGAAACAAATATGGCAGATACTGTTAATAATACACTTATAATTGAATGAACAAATAAACCCAGAAATCTCCCCCTTTCCTGCTTAACCATATTTAAGGAAGGACTATTGAAGTCCAGCCTCTATATTTATTTAATTAAAACAAAAGGACTTTCAACATTCCTGTAATATGTTATCATGCCATCAGAAACAAGTCCAAACCCCTTCAAAAATAACCAACTTAATCACAATCAACTGATCCAGACCTCATTATCCCAGTTATCATACAAGCTTATCTAGCAGACATGAATGCTCTAGTATTTCTTATTCAGTCAGTTAAACTTCAGCATCACTCCAATGTGCTTTTTAATATGTGTAGTTTCCCTCCCCTACAGAATAAAATTCCCCAGTTCTTTGAAATTTCCATATTTCAACAAGAAAATAGCCAACTTCCTTCAAAACATTTCCATACATGTTTTTCTTTAAAGCCCAAACAGTTAAAATGCACAATGCTGCATATGTACATTTTCTTCACATAAATCAAACAAAAATTCTACAATTTTAATCTTAAAATATACTGCACACGTTTACCTTCATGATGCTAGAGCCTTATATCCTAAAACATAGATCGATCCTTACTAGGGTTATATTTTTCTATACATAAAGTTTAAATTTAAAACAATAAAATGTATTAGGACTGGAACGGATAACCTGTGTACCCGGGTTCGGTAATCTATGTACCAGATAACCATCCCAAAATGAAGGTCAATATTTATAGCTTTTTCTCTCGGTCAGAAATGTCGCTCCCGACTGTTTGACAGAACTCGAAAGCACTCATGATCAGTATACTTGCCATACCATCGAGTGCATGTAAACGATAAATTTTGAATGACATAATATCACACCTGCAAAGTGACCTGATTTTGTCGGGTTACACTCAGGATTTTAGCCCTTCACCTGCTTTTATAACTTCACTCGCGGGGTTAAGATTTTGACCCGGATTTTGTCCGGAACCTTTTCGTATTTTAGAAGATACTGAAGTCACTCAGTTTCTCTAGACTTCTCCATTATTGGTCATAATAAAGACAATCTATTTCCCGTTTCCTACCGACAGGCAAATTTTGAATTGTTTATATACTGAACTTGCAAGTAATTAGTGAGGTCTTTTAACGAATAATTGAGTTGTTTTTACAATTGTATTTACATAGTATAGATCTGGTGCTAAAAACGACGTTACTTGAACATTAAAAAACCCTGCATGCATTTGATGATTTGTTTCTGTCAATCCAAATGATCATGACAATAAGAATTCAGATCCTATTCGTATAAAACTGATATTTTATACGAGTAGGGTGCAACATCTTATTGTCAGGACAATTTGAATTGACATAAAAAAAGCCTGTGAAAACACAGCATCATTTTTATTGTTATGAATTAATTTTAAAAGTTGTGTTGTTGACAAACCTTTTTATTTTTTAGCTTTGAATTTGGTATTGTGGATGAATTTGACAGCTAGGTGGAAGAATAGTTCAATGAATGTGAATGTACCTTTTACGTCATTTAAATATTGAGGTTCTAATTTTCTTATATTTGTTGCGAAAAAAGATGTCGCGTGCTATGACCCCCAAAAGAGGGTCATCACCCTCTTTCAGTATATCTGGGGTTGGCCGGTATGTAATATCGACAGACATTCTACTGAACAATGCAACTGCAGCTATCGTCTCGTGTTCTGACCGGAAGGGATGCGCCGAAATATGTGCGCATAGCGTTGAAAACACACGAGTGTTAAGTGCAACTACAAAATTTCACTTTCGGGAAGCTAATTATGTAGCCAATTCATAACGATTTTGATAATCTGCAACGTTTTACAGCATTATTTATAAGGTTATCAATAAACATCTAGTTTGTGTTTGTTATTGAAGAATTTCTCTTATGTCGTGTTCCCCCAGAAAACGAAAGTGAACATAAACTTAAATCCCTGAATTTAAGGTTAATTTGATCTATGATTAGTCACTTGTTTGGAAGTGATGATCGATCATGATTAAACATGATTCCCAACGCTATTTTACGGGTTTAGGGGTTAAGAAGTGAAGGCGTTTTTAAGTTAACGCGAGTAAAGCAAACAGAAGAGGCATCGCAACAATCTCAATCGAGATTTCCAATGAAGGAAGAATACTAAGATGACTTTTCTCTAAAAATAACACTCCCAATGATGAGAAAGCAACCCCACAAAACTTCCTTGCATCAAAAAACACATTCCTACATAGAGCCACTTTTTGCATTTTCACAAGGTTGATGTCCACAACATGCTGAAACCTGTCGTGTTGTTTGGCTGGTTACATATTTTAGGGTTGGGGGTGGTTTTGCAAAAGTTACAGGTTTCGGCTTGTGGCAGTCGTCAACCTCGTAAATGTGCAAAAGTGGCTGTATAACTGAATTACTTTGGAAGTCTGATTTAGCGTGCATATAGGTTTGTGGAAGAAAAAAATAACTATTCAACCCCAAACGTGCAAAATTACTCTAAACACCTTATTTCAGGTCCAAATATGGCTGCAACAAATCATACACAAAAACTGGTTAAGCCACATCAATACCGAAAGTGAAAATAGACGATTTGATTTGAACGTCTGAATTGATGTACGCTAGTAATCATTACAACAAAAAATAACCTCAGAGAACGATTATTTAATATATGATCAATACTGTTCTCAAATGTTTTACCCAAAAGGGACACAGTGTGCTGGTTTTTAACACATGTAATCTACTCGTATAATCCTGCAGGGTGATGGCGATTCTTGGCAATATTTCCGCAATGAATATTCCGTATTTTGAAAGAAAGACATTTCGGGAGTAAATGATAAACTGCAACAGTCACAAGTTCTCTACAATCGGGCGCATCGCATGTATAGCATTCAAGATAAACTTCGCTTATCATTACAAACTATAATGTACATTAAGAGACATGTGTCCGCATGTTGCCGTACAAGAACCCGGGTAGACCCACGTGTTTTTCAGAAATCTTGAGAAAACATAGAAAGTATAATATTTAACCATCTAGAAATTATTATATTTATCTGATCATGTAATTTATCATCCCTTTAGAGTCAAAAAAATATTCTTACCTTGTTTTTTCTTACAATTAAATGATGTTTAAGTTCTTTTTCGGCCTGTTCTTTTCGGCGTGCCGACTGCTCACCCTGTTCGATGGAAAGCACGCTTAAGGTTCTTATATATATATCACTACACTTATTTTCCCGAAGTATCCAGAAACGACGCTTTCGACACAATCCGAAAATTTATTATACACAATATATGATTAGTAATAACGGTTCTATGTCTATAAGTCTATAAAGCCATTAGAAAATTACATTAATTCATTGATAACGGGACAAAAAAAAGAAAACATTGGCCGAGTTCACCGAACTATTTGCGGAAGTTGGAAGGCTACAATTTCATGGCGACGTAAACTGATATTTTCTAGAACACTCTGTCGGAAGTAACCATGTTCTGGAAGATTCTGCTGCAGCGATATCCGGTGGTCAATAGGGGTCGTTTCGGTATTCAACTTTTCGGCGTGTATATAATTTTATGTTTCTACATTGAATGAGGATAGTTGTTCGAATAACATTAGACACATATTGAAATGGCAATATTTCAGAGATTCAAATATAAAACAAACTGGTGTCAATACTTGGTAACATTTATTAGCACATTTCAGCAATAAATGTTGTGACGGCCAGAAGATCATGAGTTGAGATAAATTTCCAGGGAAGTTCAAATAACGGGCGCAAATAAACTGAGAACAAAATGTTTCATTTGTATGCAGTTGTGTCCGGTAAAATGACATACCCGCTGTAACTGACACATTGATGAATATATTTATCCGCCACTCACAATGACTTTTTTGAAAGAATTTGTTACAATACTATTCTCTCAATGATAATTTAATTTTAATTCAATGTTCAAAATCATTTAAAAACCCGGTTCGCCTAACTTTTCAAACGACATATGTGCAACTGTGAGCGGACTACATTGTAGAACAGTGTATAACTATAACGTTTAACCATGTTGTACCGAACGACAAGAGGTGCCGACAAGGTGATAACTGCTGTTCATGAAACACTCGTGTAAAATATAACAAGAAATAAACATAGGACAAAGAAAAAAACCGAGAGAGTTTTCATGAAGGTGTTTTCTCTACCATATGAAGGAGAAATAAATCAAACTTTCCAACGGAAAAAAATCCTATCTAAATTTGGAAAACCCGAGGGATTATAGCCATTGGGCGTTCAACGAGAGGTAACTCGTAAATAATTCTACAATAGAATTTCACGACTTCAGTGTAGTTTGTTTTGCCCTGATAATTTGTTACAGCTATATTTGGACCTAAACTAAGGTGTTAAGAGTAATTTTACATGTTTTAGGGGTTTAGATCAACTTTCGGTAAAAATGACACCCCCAATGATCATATATAGGAGTTATCATTGGGGGGGGGGGGGGGTCATTTTCACCGAAAGTTGATCTAAAACATGTAAAATTACTCTGAACACCTTAGTTTAGGTCCAAATATATCTTTAACAAATTCTCAAGTCCCTGTGGTGTTGAACAGATCAGGAATTAATCAGAAACTACATAAAGATAACTACACCGACGGGACAGTTATATGATATCTCATTTCTTTTTTCCCCAATTTAAATAGGATTTACTGCAAACGAGAGGACCCCTGTTTTTATAACACTGCAAATCAGTGTCGTATGTATCCCTATGTAACGAAAAATAATAATATATCATTTGGAATTTACAGGAGCTGCGCATTATCGGGCACTTACTAGATTCCACTAACCTTACGTAACCTGGCTCATATCTCCAAGTATATATGCATGCGTGTGCGTGTGTGCTGCAGATTTATTTTGCTGTGTTTAGGACGGGGTCCGTTTCACAGTGTCACCGCATTTATGTGCGACAGCACACACCCTACAAAACTCACCCCAGACCATTTACTAAACACCTGGGACCGTATTCATGAAACCGTTCTCATGCTCAAGCATGGGTCGCTCAAACAAACTTTCTTGTAATTCACTTTAATCATGTCAAACGATCAAAAAGTCAAAGAGGTATGGCGGAAAACTGCCCGTATTTCCCTAAGTCGGCATTTTTGAAAACGGAAAAAAATATTGATAAGTAAAAAAATCTTTAGTAGCAAAAATGTATGGAATAGATATAAAACCACTTGAATATGAATGTTTGAACTGTTGAGATATTCGGTATTGTTGATATAATACTGCAAATATAGCCATATTCACTATATCTATGAAAGTGAAGGGGTTTTCCAGACTTAAAAAATACTTTCAATACTTTCCCATCCGAGGACCAACTTTTGAATAAACATTTTGATTCCGTGATGTAATATGCAAAAACAAATCGTATTACGGAAAAGTGGTCCTCCTTTGGGAAAGTGCTCAAAATGATGAAAAACTGGGTTGATCAAGTTTTTAAAACTGCGACAGATGTTTAGCAGTTTGTATTTCCCTTTTTGTCTATGTCCGATGTAGACTAATGTGTAACGCAGTTAGCTTTTGACCAGAAAATGTGAACAGTGTAGGTTCGAATCCACATTCAGATACACTTTTTTGTTTGTTTTACTTTTGTTTAATATTTAGGCATGTGATTATTTTCCTTAATTAAGTGAGAAATATTTTTCAAATCAATAGAACATTGTATTGATATTTTATTAACATACCTATTGATTTATCTTCCATGGAATCATGTCAAGAAATCCCCTATATGCGTGTACAGTACAGCTACGCTTTGTAGTTGAGACATCATTTTAAATGATATTTATGAATTGTTTTACCCTCCAATTGGCACAAGTATTTTTAATTATAATCTTAACGCAAACAAACGATGCCGAAATACAAAATATATGGGATTGGTACAAAGCAAAAAATAAATAAATGAAGTGTTGTTATCGAAAAGATATTACCGAACATGCGGGAAAATTCATCGTCGAGGCCAGTCTCATTTGTATTAAATGCAGGAACACTGCAGCACAAAGTTAGACACGTGTAAGACATGCTATTCGAAAACTATATGTAATTTTATCATTACGAGTTAAAGAAAGAACAAAATCAAGATGTGTATTTTTAAAAAAACAAGTAACGGCATGACGTAGCAGTAGTAATGAAAACTAAATCTTTTCAAACTTGTTGGTAATGAATGTACGATCTTGTGTTTTATACAGCATAACTCGAAATACGCATGTATTAGTAGCCATGGCCTTGAATTCGTCTGTTTACAATAATCTATTCTTAGCCACGGGATTCCGATCGAGCTACTTGTATAGAAATACCTGAGGACGCGTCATAACAGTGCACGGTTGGAAGCGCGCACGATAGCGGATCATAGCTTTGGGGAAATAGGCATAGCAACCCGCCATAGCTCTTTAAACATTGAAAACAGTTTTTTGGTTTTTAGTCTCTTTAATGTTTCTTCAAATCATTCGACAAAATAAGATTTGTTGATCAATTTATAGCCAGAATAAGATTTTCGGCTTGAGCACAAAGAGTATGCTTAACATGAGAACGGTTTCATGAATACGGGCCCTGGGTTGTTGAAGATTTGTGGGCAGACAGGAATATTTCATGTTACGACGAATCAAGGAATCGAACCCCGATCGTCTGCGTCCTATATATTACCATAGTATCTAATTAGTCATTTGTTAGAGCTGGCGAATTCCTCCAAAATTTCGTGCAGAACACCTATTGGGCGTTTTATTAAATCAGAACGTACACGATTATTATGGCTGACGTCGGAGCATATATGTAACGAAATTAAATGACATTAACTGATCTACATGCATATTTTGAGTTATACACTGGTCTGAACGTGTTAGACGTATGTCCATAGAATGCAACGTTGTAGGATTGGTTAAAATGACTACTCTGTGAATAAATGGCGGGTTGGAGAGAAAATATTTCTGTCACATCTTTTAAAAAAAAAACAGAAGAGGAGGAGATGGTAAGTTATATCAGGCAATTCGTGGATAATTGGCAATGTAAGGATTTGTTTAGCGACCTCATCACAGGTTGTTGCATTGCAGGTTAGCTCACCTGAGCTTAAGTGTTGTTATTTTTCGGGTCGATCAGAAATCCAATATGGCCGACATGACCGCCATTTTGAAAAACAATTTCAAACTTAAAATCAAGTTCTATTTGGCCGATTGAACTGAAACTTAATAGGAATGATCGACTCATTGTCTTGACAAAGTGTTGTTATTTTTCGGTTCGATCAGAAATCCAATATGGCCGCTATGGCCGCCATTTTGAAAAACAATTTCAAACTTAAAGTCAAGTTCTGCTGGGCCGATTAAACTGACACTTGGTGGGAATGATCGACTCATGGTCCTGACAAAGTGTTGTTATTTTTCGGGTCAATCATAAATCCAATATGGCTGCCACTGCTGCCATTTTGAAAAACCATTTCAAACTTAAAGTCAAGTTCTACTTGGCCGATTGAACTGAAACTTTGTAGGAATCAATGACGGACTTATGGTCCTGACAAAGTGTTGTTATTTTTCGGGTCAATCATAAATCCAATATGGCTGCCACTGCTGCCATTTTGAAAAACCATTTCAAACTTAAAGTCAAGTTCTACTTGGCCGATTGAACTGAAACTTTGTAGGAATCAATGACGGACTTATGGTCCTGACAAAGTGTTGTTATTTTTTGGGTCGATCAGAAATACAATTTGGCTGCCATGGCCACTATTTTGAATATAACTATTTCAAACTTAAAAACAAGTTCTAATATGCCGATTTAACTGAAACTCGGTCTAGGAATGATCAGCTCATGGTCCTGACAAATTTAAGTTAACGTTATACTTAACTAGTTTTTACTCAAATTGGTACATATTTCAACAACAAAAATAAATACTGTAGGACTCAGGTTACCGTTAAGGTCCATGTGCCTCTTGTTTTGAAATATGATATAAAAACAAATTGAATATAATATTTCAATATTGAGTTCTTAATGAAAGTGTAAATCGTATTTACAGAGAGTGATTCCACGATGGGAAATGTTCAAAATGACGAAAAATTAAGCGAAACATCAATAATCCTTTTTTTCGTTGGCAAGACAATACTTTCTCAATTTGATTTTGAAATACAGATGTTAATTGACCAGCTACGGTAGTGTAATATGAAGATATGTGTATTAGTCAGGTTGGTATTTTCTCTTGCATACATCGGATACAGTAATTTACGCT